AATAACAAAACTTAATTAGGCTCTAAAACAGCTAAAATGTTAAAAGAACAATCTGAAATGATTCCATCTGCAATCTTTTCCTTTATGAGTATACTTCTAAATTATTTTAAAAGTTTTCATTATGGTAAAATAAACCCCTTTCCCAGCAAACATTTGCTGAAAATCATATTTGATATCACTGCAAGTTAGTTAAATTATTTTCCTTCCGAAAGCTCAAATGTTAAGAAGAAAACAATAATCCATCCACAGGATGGTTTCCTGGGTTCTGGTGGCTGGAAATCACCTCCAAATTTATTTTGGGTGAAGTAGGTTCTTCCAGATGATACAGCCCTTTTACCATTTAATACAAGTACATGTAAAACACTTCACCTAGAAATAAGGAGGTTACCATGCCAAAATCAGTGTGCTTTATTTCTAATAATTTATTGTTAGAGCCATTCTTAACTAAACTTCTTGTTTTCAAGGGGGTAATATTTCAATACAATGTCCTTGTGTGATTAACAACTAGGTAATTTACTCACTTCCATATAAATTGGTAATAATCACAGACAATCTAGGCTATATTCCAAGACATTCCTTATCTTTCCCTAAAAGTCACTATGAACTTTTATAATGACTGTTTTTTTTTTTTTTTTTGAGACGGAGTTTCACTCATGTTACCCAGGCTGGAGTGCAATGGCGCGATCTCGGCTCACCGCAACCTCCGCCTCCTGGGTTCAGGCAATTCTCCTGCCTCAGCCTCCTGAGTCGCTGGGATTACAGGCACGCGCCACCATGCCCAGCTAATTTTTTGTATTTTTAGTAGAGACGGGGTTTCACCATGTTGACCAGGATGGTCTCGATCTCTTGACCTCGTGATCCACCCGCCTCGGCCTCCCACAGTGCTGGGATTACAGGCTTGAGCCACTGCACCCGGCCCAATGACTGTTTTTTTATCATGGTGAAACCAGGTCTTTACTAAAAATACAAAAATTAACTGGGCATGGTGGTGTGCACCTGGAGTCCCAGCTACTTCAGAGGCTGAGGCAGGAGAATCGCTTGAACCCGGGAGGCGGAGGTTGCAGTGAGCTGAGATTGTGCCATTGCACTCCAGCCTGGTGACAGAGCAAGACTCTGTCTCAAAAAAAAAAAAAAAAAAAAGTAATTATTGAAGTCTGACTATTAGTAGCCAGATTTGATGGGGAAGAAACCATAAGCACAAAGCCATCCTACCTGTTCAGGCTCAATTTTAACTCTGCAGAGTCCAAAGCAACGTGAGAGCAGAAAGAGCCAGTCTGTGAGAGGACTCAAGGTATTTTGAGCAAACTGCTAAATCACAAATCCCCAGGAGAATGTCCTCTTCTCCCTTCTCTTTAGTTATTTCTCTCCCTCTTCTGGCTCCATCTCCCAAGTTCCCTAGAAACTTGTTCAAATATCCCTAGCCTGACAAAATAATCACTGTTGGTCTTTATTCAGATTTAATTGCTTTCCCATTCATCCCCTTTAAAGTTAAATTTCTGCAAAGATTGTAGACAACGGCTCTCTCCTCTTTTTCATTTCTCATTCCCCCTTTGACTCATTAACGTCTACTTTTAGTCTCTTCTGCCATGATGAATCAGTTCTCTGAAAGGTTTCCAGAGGTCTCCTAGTCACCAGTCCTCAGTCTTTGCCCTCCTTAGCCTCCCTTTTGTGCATCTGTTCTAAAAAGCTGCTAAATTGGAACACTCCCTACTTGGCTTCGACCACTTTACTATCCTCCAGTCCACAAATGGAAGCCGTCTCGAAAGTTCTGATTCCGATTTTCTCTTTAGCATCTCCTCCTTAGTCAATTCCTCTATTTCCATTACTCCAACTAGAATGTTGATGACTCCCTATCTGTTTTTGGTTCTGACCTCTCCAGATTTCCATGGGCTTGCTGGATATTTCCACACTGATGTCCTTCTGATGCTTCCACCTCAGTGGGTATAAAATGCAGTTATCTTCTCCTTCCAAATTGTTCTTCTACCCTAGCGCAAAACCTCAGTTATTTTCAGTTCCTCCCTTTTTCTCAACTGGTTGCTACACAGCTTAGGGTGGAAACTTTTCTTCTTTCTGTTTCTTCCTGAACCATACATTAGGAACTTGTGCCACAACTTTTTGCCTCTAGGGAAGTACCGAGGAAGATGTTTCTGCCACCTTATATTAAAGCAACTTACTCACTGTTACTTTGGGGAACGGAAAGATTTCGTGATGGAAAAACTGGGAAGGGTCTGCTAGCCATTAGTGGGCAAGACTGACGTATAAGCCTCCCTTCTCACACATAGGCCTGTCTCTTGCTCACACATGCTGTGTGCCTTATGGATTGTAAAGTGTCAGGCTCTCCTTTGCCTTTTTAGTGTTTATGCTGGAATTTGAACAGGTTGGGTTCCTCCCAGCCCTAATGTTGGGGAGGCCTGTCATACTTCAGCTGTGACTGGGTGGGCATGCTGAATGAGGGAAAAGGAGTGAGAGGCCCCATTTTGGCCTTGAGGCTAAGCTGTGTTCTTCAATCTGACTTTAACTTGATAGAGTTAACACAGTATTTTAATTTCCTTATGGTTCCTTGTGTTGATTCCCAATTTGTTTGAGAATCTAAAGGGAAGAAGGGCTGCATAATGCACCATCTTCTACATACTTGGTATCAAGCTGTCTTAGCTACTTCCCCAACGCTTTTGTCTTCTTTTGGGTGACAATGGTAACTTACTCTCATAAAAATGTCAACAAATTATACATCTTTTCCATTATGAATTTTCATTTTTTGTATGAAAGATTTTGGCCATAGCTCTCCCCCTCCATCCGTACCCTCAAACTTAACAAATTTTGTGACTTTTATACAGTTTTTTATTTACTTTTATTCTTTTTTTTTAAATCAAAAACTTACCAGGAAGAAAAGGTATAATTTTTCCTAAATTAAGTTCCAAAAAGCACTGCTTGGCTGATTTAATATTTATTGAATTCCACAATGCATTAGGCACCACGTAAACACAAAGAGAGAAGCAATTAATAATATGTATGCAATTAATAATTTGAAAAAATGATAAATTAGCAACAAACAAATGAGAAAATAACAATGGAACCAAATACTTCTTTCAAGGATTTGGTTTGCTTACTATTAGTATATTGAAAACAACTGATGGAAGGAACAGAAATGAATGCATCTAAAAAGAAGTATCTATAATCCTATGGTATGGCAGTTAAGCATTTGCCTGCCAGGAGAGATAAATGACTTTCTTGTGTGCACTTGAAACTTATAAATGGCTGCAGCAAGACGCAGGATAATAACAATTGTGCTAAAGTAATAGCTCAGAAAACCATAATTGCTATTTAGTTGCTTTTTGTTGTTAAAAAATACAGTGTTTGTGGCAATTTGAATACTATGCTGTGTGTCTGTGTCTTTGACATGTTTCTGTTCAAGGATATGTAGGCTGTTTCAGCTCACTTACAAATTTCAGTCAATGAGAAGCATGAAGATGAGCTTCCAAAATTCTGTTATTTCCCCCAATATTTGCACAAGGTTAGTTCAGTTTTGTTGTTGTTTAAAATTACTCCACCATGCCATTGTTGAGTCAATGCGGTGGAGCATATTTCTTTTCCTGATGTGCCACACATTGCAAGTTCTCACAATTCTCTTCAAGAACCGCTGCATAATTGTTGATACAGTTTCTCACTGCAGTGGGCTGCGGTATCAGGAAACCTTTAGCCATATGCACATGATGCAGTGCTACCTGTCACCCCCTCTGAATGCTAGGGACTCATGAAGCCTATCCTGGCATGAAGCGCAGCCTACAATTTCCCACCTTACACATTCAAGATTCCCTCCCAGTGTCTCCAAGCAAGGTCCCTTCTGTGTTCAATCCAAAACAACTGAATGAATGAGATGCAACATGTCAACAATTCGAATGTTTATTTTGTTTTAGGAAACCAGCTGCAAACAAAACGTATCCACTGTTTTCCATGCTTATGAATCTGGCACTAAGAGACTGCATTAAGCAATGCCTTTTTAGGTTCAATACTTACATATGGTAATATGTTACTGGCCTTAAGGACATCAATGATTAAGCTTTTATGCAGAGCTGTACAATTGGTTTTGTATAGTTAGAAAACAACACTGATTTTGAGATCACTACAAGCAAATAAAACTTTTATTCTTCCCAATTCTTTACTTACTTTTCAAAATTTTATAAATTTTTTATGACACAATTTCTTCAGTCTATTAAATATCCAAAAAAGGAGGCTAATGCAGTCGTTATGAGAAACTCTACAAATGCAGTAAAGTGTTACCTTGTCACTATAATTGCAGCTTTCTTTATGCGACTAAATGAAACAATCCAGCCCCACACGAGGAAAGCCAGCATTGCCTTGGGGGCAGCAGAACGCGGCATAGCATCCGCAACCAAGGCTGCAAGATGCCGCAGACTGGCTGCTGGCTGCTACAGCAGCGGCTTCCAGACCAGGTGGCCGTCCGCAGAAAGGCACACTGCAGCGCTCGCGCCATACCTTCCAGGCTGGCACTGCATCAGTGTTAAGTCCCCCGGCCACCAACTACCATATACTTTTGCTGGTTATGAAAAAACGTGGGGAGGGGACAAAGAGGAGACAGTGTGTGCCCGCAGGGCTGAGAGATCACTATTGCCTCACACTCCCTAAAAAAATTCTCCCTCAAATATTTATAAGCCAAGTCCCAACTTACTTCATCTGGCAGGTCCCTAAATCTGAAATCGCCTCGCCCTTCAAATGCACTAAATGAGTCAGAGTTTTAGGGCAAAGCCAGGTATACAAGAAGATCTAAAGTGCCCAATTCTCGGCTGCGAAATAAGCACCAAGTTGGGGCGGAAGAGTTCACCTCTGCAGACCAGAGCGTTCTACCCCGGAGCTCTCCTAGTTTAAGAGACGCTTGGAGAGGAGTGGGCCTCCCGTTCCTGGAGGATCCCAATTCCCAGGGAAGGCCCTTCCCGGCGTTCGCGCTTCAGCGCGCGACGAACCCCCCACAAGCAATAGCTCACCCGGCTGCATCCTTCAAAGCCCCAACCTCCGGGCGGGGCGTAGGGATGTGGGAGGTAGGAGATGGAAGGTGGGGGGTAGCACCTCCGGGAGGCTCCTGCCAGCGCCTCACGGTTTTCCCCTGGCTCCTTGGCGCCCCCTGACGAGGGCTTCGCAGCAATTTGGCCAATGGAGGCTGGTTAGGTGGAAGCCCCGGGTGTCCGGGAAGCGAGAGGCGCCCAGCCAGGGCACCCTCGGACGGCGCGGACTGGCGGGCGGCCCCGCGGGAGGGCGCTGGGCTCTCAGGCCCTGGCGCAGCCCGCGGCCGCCGCCGAAACCGCCGCAGCCATGTCCGCGCGCCCGCGCTGCCGCAACCCGGCCGTGATGTCATCAGCCGAGCCCCCGCCGCGGCACCCCATTCCCGCCCCCCGCGGGCCGCCGCGGCTGCAGCCGGTGCGCCGCGTCCCCGCCCCGACCCACGTGCGCCCGGCTTCTGGGATGCTGAGGTCGGCGGCGGCCGCAGGACGATGCGCGGGGCCCGGGCGGCCGCGGCGGCGGCGCTGCTCCTCCCCACTCGCCGCGTCCCCAGCGGGGCTGCGCCCGGGGGCTGCGCACGGACGGGGGCGGGGGCGCCCGGGGAGGGGGGGGAGAGGATCCCAGCCGCCGAGTCGCAGCCTAGTCGCTGTCTGCTGAGTCATGGCAAGCGCTACCCGCAGCCCTGGATCACTCGCGTAGCGCGGCTGGCGCGGGGTGCGCAGCCATTGGGCTGGGCGCGGGGCCGCGAGCGCCGGGCATGACGCGCTGAGCCGCGCTCGCCCGTGCCCGCCGTCTCGGCGTGCGCCCCGCGCGGGTGCCTGTGCCGCCGCCCTCCAGCCCCGCCGTCGAGTCGCCCCCGCCTCGCCCGCACCATGATCGCCGCGGCTTTCCTCGTCTTGCTGAGACCCTACAGCATCCAATGTGCCCTCTTCCTCTTGTTGCTTCTGCTGGGCACCATCGCCACCATCGTCTTCTTCTGCTGCTGGCACCGCAAGCTCCAGAAAGGGAGGCATCCGATGAAATCGGTCTTTTCGGGTCGTTCTAGAAGCCGAGGTAAGACGCGCCGCCACGGGTTTCTGCGGGCTACCAAGAACATTTAAGCCGATTTGGAGAGTGAAGCGCGGCTCCCTCCCTTCTCCTCGGCTTCCCCAGCCCTATCATTGCCCACTTCCCAGGCTGAGTACGTTTCTTTATTTAACACCCCTTGCCCTTTTTTGCCCTCACCTCCGCCCTGCAGTCTCCCGGATTTGAATAACCCCAGCGATGCGGAGGGCAGGGAGGGGAGGAAAGAACTCAAATTTTTAGTCCGTTTGCTAAAGCCTTAGGGTAATTTGAATGTAGTCCAGGGCTGCGGCAGCCTCGCCTTCACCTATCCTTCGCTGAGGTAAGAAAGTAAGGCTCCCCAACTCCCCCAAAACTTTAATGCAAACTTCTCGCGGAGAAATCGCCTAGATACCGTTGGCCCAGTACTCCTCTTCCCTCCCGCAGGATGTCCCACCAAATTTGCGGCATCTGCGATGCCCTTTCCCAACCCTGCTCTCCCAGGTAAGCCATGAATCACTTGGCAGGTGAAGAACAAGGAGTTAAATGAAGTCTCATTTCTCTTTTTTCTCCCCAGATGCTGTTTTGAGATCGCACCACTTTCGTTCTGAGGTAATTTATTTAGCGCGCACGCTCAAGGTCAGAAGAAGTTCTCTTTCCTGAGTACCAATATTAATTATATGCGTGTTAAGAAACCAGTAGGACATTGAATGACGAGCATGCTGTCCCCTATCCGAAAGTGGCATGTTTCCTTTTAAGTGATTCCGTATTAGTGCCCAGCGAAGGGTTTTTAGCAAATTTCTTGTGTAGTGGAGCTGTTGTACAAGAGGGGTCAAAGCAAACCCTAAGAGCGCGGCAGACCTTAAAAAACTTACCCACGGGGTGGATGTCACTTGAGTTGACAATTTGTAATTTGCTGGTGGAAGTGTTTTCTGGGTGCTGTCAGCTGACTGTGGTTGTGCCCTTGGATAAACGAAGATGTTAGTGCAGAACAATTTGATCCATTTTCGATTTTGAAGTTCACATTTCTGTTCTCTCATAAAGCTATCCATGTTTTATTGGAGACCATCTGATGATTTTTGCAAAGCGGTGATGGTAGCGTGTGCTTCATGCTTGTGCTAGTCTCCACCCTCAAAACGCGGACCATCCCTCTAGGGCAACTAGCCTAATCACCACACCCCGGAACCAGCTCCACTGAAGGAACACAAGCTCTCCCTGACCCAGCATTTCTTTAGGAATTTTCAGGGCAACCTCCACTTATCCTAAGATAATTTTCCCTCTTTTTAGGAAAGTTGCACGTTGCCAGACTTGGAGGTTGCTGCTTGGTGCAGTTTACTCAGGTTGGCGAAGACTTCATAGTTAAATGCCCTCCGTTTACCTGAAGTTTTCTTACCTTTCATTAATCAGATGTTTTATGGCACGCCAGGTGTTTTACAGGGTTGTAGTTGCTTAACAACTTTAACTGTATTATTGCAAAATCATTAAAATGTTTCACAGAGAGTAACTGCATATAGCCCTGGAGGGTGAGAACTCTATTCCGTTTAGGATTCTTGAGAGGAGAAAGAAGTTAACCAGTCAGATAATCAGAGGTTCCATTCCTGGCTTTACATTAACTAGCTGTTTGGTACGTCTTGGTGTCTCAGTTTACCTATTTGTAAGACAGGGCCATTAGTACCTTGCAGGTTATGGGAGGGTGGGGGAAATTACAATAAATTCTGTGAAGAAAAATCCCACTTAGTTCATAATAAGTATTCAGTATTTGGTAGCTATCATTATATTTTGTAAAGTTGAATTTTAAAATGTATAAAAATAAAAGTTAATGTTTGCAAATTTTCAAGTCTTCATTAAATTAATTAATTCAAGTTTATAGAAAACAACAAAAACTGGTACTATTGTAAAGCAACAATTTTGAATATGTGATTTATTCAGTAGAGCAACCCATTCAGATGTGATGAGAAGTAAATAATCGTCAGAGTGCAAACACCAAAATACAGAATTTTGATTTTAAAAAGAGATAACCTTGGAAACGAGGTACTGGAATATTTTCAAAGAAAAAAAAAAAGGAAAAAAATTTAAAAAGAACAAGAAAAAAAAAAAAGAGAGATAGGCAGTTCCACACATATACATGATAGAATCAGCATAATAATCCTGTTATACTAGCCGTCAGGTATTTCAGCTAAAGCACAAACAAAAAATCAGATACAACTATGTCTTGTTTAGTTATCTCTCAGTTGAATGTTTTTGTCCTGAGCTTACTTTTGGTTAGGAAAGCTGGGGGTAGTTGTTTAATGCCTTAACTCACTTCAGAAGATTCCTGGTGTAGGTTGACATCTTTGTGTGATATTTGCCTCTTCTACTAGACTGTGAGCTCCTTGAGGGCAGGACCATGTCTTTCTTGTTTAGGGCAGTGTCCCCACTGCTTGGCTCAGTGCCTTGTATACAGTGCGTTATTAATAAATGTTTATTGAATGAATGAGTGAAAAGAAAAAATCTCTTAGTAGGTACTAGTTTTTGAAACGAGGCAAATAGAACTCAAGAGTTGGGCAGAAAAGAAAAATGCACATTCTCAGGATATCACTCAGAATTCAATATTTGCTAAATCTTATTGGCTCTTTCCAGACTTTTAAAAACTGGAATTTGTGCTATAAAAGTATAAGTCATTAATGGAAACAAAATGGATTTGGTTTGAATTTTTTTTCTGAAAAAATTAAATGCAATATTAGTTTAATTTGTTGATGGGTTACTCATCAGCAAGTTATTTTGATAAAGCAGTCAAAGAATGCCATTTTATAACTGAAAATTCTGGGACTGTGTTGCAAAAGAATGTCATATGTCATCACTACTTTGCTTACCACAAATGAAATGTTTCCCCTTAAGGAAAACATAGGGAATATTTTTCTTTTCCCTTTTCTATCAAGATGCCATTTTCTGCAACATTTTCTTTTTGAGAAATATCTCTGAATTTACTTGAATTTCAGCATATTTAAAAAAATAGAATTTGTGAATATTATTGTGAACATAATGAATATTATTGTTGCTTTTTATCAGTAGCTGCTGCAAAATAGTTACCCAAGAATATATTTCGATTTTTGACAAATCATAGTCATATCGAACTAAGAACTTAGTACTTTCTGTTTCTCCTTCCATTCTCAGTAAGTAGATAATTCACTTTCAGCATTTCTACAGTGGTCAAAGGAGGAAAATTACTTTAGGATCTGCTGACTCACTTTAAACCACGAAAAAGCTTTGGGCTAGCCCTTGTACAGATGAAGAAGTTCACTGAGCGCTTTGCTGCTTTACTTGGCAGAAGGTATCACTTCTGGTACCCGCATGCCCAGGAAGGAGTCCAATTGTACGGGAAGTTTTAGTCAGTTCCCTTTTCAGGTAATCAGAGTAATACTCCTAGAGAAAAATCACGGCACCAGGACTCAGTTTGCTTTGGGGAAGTTCTACAGTAGGGAAAAAAGCCACCTTCCTCATCTGAGGAGCTCCAGCTGTTTGTTTTCTCCTTACTGAGTATATAATAAACCACATTTCTTCAGTTTCTTCCTCATGAAGCTACAAATAATGTAGATGTTTATAAGATGTTTTGGAACCATAACTGCCAACCCTTTTTATTTTCATATACTTGCAAACTTTACTACTTTGTAGTCGTCCTCAACATGTTAATATATAGCATATGAGAATGTGAAATTATTAATGCATCTAGCAAGGCCTGAACAGTGAAACTTCATTTCAGTAATAGACGGAAATAAGTGTTTTGTGTATGCATATTTAACACTTATACAGTATTTTTGTCCTGGTTCTAAACAGCTGATGATGAGAAGTGATTTCATGTTGATATAGTAGGATAGTCTAGAAACCAAGTGTTCATTCTGGTTTCTAGAATCCAGTTATCTGGGAAGTGGACTTTTCCTGAGGATTGATAATGCTTTATGCCATGACTTTGAACAATGGTAAACTGTTACCCTAGATTCCTGTGGTAAAAAGCTGTGACAATCCTGATTTTAAGGAAATTTCAGAAAGTGATATGGGTAATTGAGGTGCCATTAGATTATAAAAAAGTGTCTTGGGAGTACTTCAGTAGAATGGAGACAATTATAATGCCCTTTGAGACTATCCAGAGTGAATAGTGGTAAATAATCCCTATTCATGAACTCAGTGGAATAAGGGAAGCCTTGTTTGACATAAGGAAGGAGAAGAGTGTGTTCTGTATCTACCAGTTTTTGAATAAATATCTCCACTTCCTGTTTCAGGCAAATGAACCCAAAGAGTTAAGTTAAGCAGTTCCCAAGGAGTCACATAACAAGATAAGGACTGAGTAACAGAAGAATTCTCTGGCTACGTATCGTGTGTCCTGTGGTGTTGAATCGTGTCACTCGTAGCCCAGAGAATAATATGACCAAAATTTTAACTGAAAGAAATTGAGTTTTTAGTTGACATTTCTTGTAATACTAAATTGGCAATCCTTTAGTTTTTTTCCATTGATTATGTAGGTTATCCTCAATGAAACAATGGTCCACCCAAGCCCTCTTGTCCTCATTATGTTCCTTGAGTGTCCCTGTATCAAATCAATGGAGAATGGCCAGCAAAATAACCAAATTTCACAGCATCTCATTAAATTTGCATCTTTCATTAAGAATTACCTAATTTAGTAGACTAGGAAGGTGATAGTTTATTATTGAGCGATTTTTTGCAATTAGGTTATCTTTGTAAATAAATTATTTGTCTGGAGTTAGTTTTAGGTCTAAATTAATTTATACTAATTTAGTCAGCCATAAGTTGTAACTGTACATATGATACAGTATTCATTGAGTGTCACCAATTATTTTCCAAATAAACACATTTATTTTCTCTTTCTGTCTGAGGTACTGTGTTAAACAATAGGGCTAACAAAGGGTTGGAGATGGAGCCCCTGCCCTTGACAGTTACTTCTAGGTCACTCCTAGTATCAGTGCTGAAATTTAGATTCTAGTTACTGGTTTTTTCTGTTATGGTAACTGAACTGTGCCATTTCCAGCTATGAATCACAAATGTTATGAGAGCATCGGAGGCTGCTGTGTAAAAGTGTACAGCCAATACATGTGTAAAAAAGACAAATTAATCCTATTCACAGAGTTTATCATCCCAGAGTCAACACTGCCATATAATTAACCCTTACTTGCTGACAAAACAGAAAAACAAAAAACAAAAGAAAAAACTCCCACCTTTTTTTCATGCATCCAAACCAATTAAATTCATCTAGATTAGAACTGAAACAAAATATTTTCCAGAGAAGTTTGCATCTTTGTGTAATCTTAAGGCTCAAGAATGACTCTCTTTGAGATGTGGATGGCAAAATAGAACTAGGGTAATAACAGTAATTATTGGCATGATGTAAGGATTATAAGAATAGGAATTCAAGACTAGGCATACTGGCTCCCATCTGTAATCTCAGCACTTTGGGAGGCCGAGGCAGGCAGACCATGTGGTCAGGAGCTTGAGACCAACCTGGCCAATACGGTGAAACCCCATCTTCTACTAAAAAATACAAAAATTAGTCATGCACGGTGGTGGGCACCTATAGTCCCAGCTACTCAGGAGGCTGAAGCAGAAGAATCGCTTGAACCCGGGAAGTGGAGGTTGCAGTGAGCCAAGATCACGCCACTGTACTCCAGCCTGGGCAACAGAGCGAGACTCCATCTCAAAAAAAAAAAAGGAGCTCAAAATCCTGGTTTTGGGTTCTAGCTCTGCCACGAACTAACTGTGTCACCTCGGCCAAGTCTCTTTTGTTGTTGAGGCTTAGATTTTGTATTATGACTGGTAATGTGAGGATTATCTCTGAAGCCCCTTGCAGAAGTAATAGGCCAAGTATCTACTACATACAAAGTGTCGTGCTGTAAAGGCACCAGGAAACCATGATTCCTGTCTTCTAGGTGCTTAAGGCAGGAAAAGTAAAAAATATCATTAGCGTAAATACCAAGTAACAAATCATGTATAGAAAAGGAATGGTTGGAATAGTTCTAGTGAAGTGGTTGCTTCTAGCTCAAGTGATAGGGAAGCCTTCCAAGAGGAGTGATGTTTGTGCTGAAGCCTGAAGGTTATATGGTAAGTACAGTAGTCCCCTTTTATGTGTGGTTTTGCTTTCCGTGATTTCAGTTACGCATGGCCAACTGTGATCTCAAAATATTAAGTGGAAAATGACAGAAATAAATGATTCATAAGTTTGAAATTGCGTGCTACACTGAGTAGCACGATGGAACCCTGAGCTGCCCTACTACAATCCCACTTTGTCCTTCCCAACATGGGATCATCCCTTTGTCTAGCATATCCATACTTTATACTCTGGCCATCTCAGTTGTTGGATTGACCGTATTGCCACACTTATGTTCAAGTCACCCTTATTTTACTTAGCAATGGCCCCATAGAGCAAGAGTAGTGAGCCTGGCAATTCAGATACACCAAAGAGAAGCCTTAAAATGCTTCCTTAAAGTGAAAAGGTAAAAGTTCTTGACTTAGTAAGGAAAGAAGAAAAATCATATGCTGAAGTTTCTAAGATAAACCATAAGAATCAATCTTCTATCTGTGAAATTGTGAAGAAGGAAAAAGAAATTCATGATAGTTTTACTGTCATACTTTTAACTGTGCATGGTAAGTGCTTAGTTATGATAGAAAAGACACTAAATTTGTGGGTGGAAGAGATGAATAGAAAACATATTCTGATTGATGGCAATGTGTTGCATCAGTTTTACTTAATTAAATTATACTTTATCATAGTTATGTATGTATAGGAAAAAACATAGTATGTATAGAGTTCAGTACTATTTGTGGTTTAAGGCATCTACTGGGGTCTTGGAATGGATCTGTGGTAGATAAGTGGGGTCAACTGTACCTGAGTAGATTCAGAGAGAATGAGTGCAAAACCCCAGGTTGGTATAAGGGCATGAGAATAGACAAGATTTGGGAAAGCACATACCTATTTTCAGAGCTCGGTGTACACCAATATGGTTAGAGAGAGGGACTCTTGAGGTTGCATAAAGGAATGTAGAGCTGGAAGTATACATAGGGGTCAGCTACAATAAAAATGATTTTTCTATACACATGATAGTTGACAAAAGGCTTTGACATAACATTTTGTTTGAACACTTTAGGAGGGGACCTGCTATGATCGATCTTAAGAGAAGCAAAAAATCACCTTTTGATCTCTTTTCCAGCAACCATAACAAAACAGCCCAATCACTCTTCTTTCACTCAGGGAGAACAAAGAGTTGTGGCCTCTGCTGCAAAAGGCCTTGGAAAATGGCCAGTTGGGGACCTTTCTGGTGAACCTGAGGCTGAGCTTTTGAAGGGTACCATGTTTTTGAGGTCCAAGGATCAGCATCACTGGGTTATATTCTGACTGCAGACACCATCTGTCCAAGGTTTATGGCAACTTGCTTATGTGTTTAGTGTGGTCATTACAAATTTTAATACAAAGTATAATAAATTTGCAGGTAATTCATTATTGACCTTTTTATTGACTATGAACTACATTAAAGTTTTAAAAAGTATTTGAAATATATATAGCAACTTTTCAACTTCTTTCTTGAAAACTCCTCTCCTATAATAATTATTCCTTAATGTTTACCCCCCACTCGAATCCTCAAACCTACTCCCTCACCTTGAGCCAGTGACTGTCTATCTCCTGACTCACAAAGAACATTAATGCATCAGGTCATAGCTCCTTAAACTTCTTGTACCTACGAACTAACTGGCATCTTAGCCTTCCCTCCCGGTCCAATTAAAAATTCATCTGCTATCCACGCTGATATTTTATGCTTACGTTGTGAATTCTTTTCTTCCCATCTCTTTGGGGATATTCTATTAGTCGTCCCCTCCTTTATCTTCAGTCGCTCCTTCTCTGCTGGCTCCTTTCCCTTACCTACAAACATCATACGTGCTTCCTATTGGAAATAACAGCAATAGCACAAAACCTCCCTATGCCACCAGTTCTTCTCTTGGCAGGAAAAGTTTCCTGAAAAAGCTTCTTTATTTGTTACCTTCTGTGTTCCTCACCTCTCATTTATTCCTCAACTTAATATAATCTGGCCTCTGCTGCTGCTATTTAGATCACCCATACTTAGCTCACCAGTGATTTCCAAATTGCTAAATTGATTGTTTCAGTTTTTAATTTAGTTGATCTATCTAGTATTTGGTTCTGTTGGCCACTGATTCCTTCTTGAAACTTTCTTCCTGGTTTCCAGACAACACCCTGTTAATCCCCCACCCCCTTCTGGCCCTGGCTCTCTCTGTTTCTTTACCGGATCCTCTTCCTACTTAGAACTTGGTATTTCCTGTCTTGGGCCTACTTAAAAGAAGAAAACAGCTTTATTGAGGTATAATTTACATGCCATACAGTTCACCCATTTAAAGTGTATAATTAAGTGGTTTTCAGTATATTCACAAGGTTGTGCAACCATCATCACAATTTAATTTTAGAACATTGTCATCATCCCCAAAATAAACCTATACCCATTAGCAATTATTCCCTATTCCCCTTCTTTCTTCACCTTTTAACTCTTGCCAGCCAGCCACTAATCTTTCTTTCTTTTTTAATGTGGAATGCTTCACAAATTTGTGTTTCATCCTTGTGCAGGGGCCATGCTAATCTTCTCTGTATCTTTCTAATTTTAATATAGATGCTGCCCAGCCAAGCACTGCTTTCTGTCTTAACAGATTTGCTGGGCTCCATTTTTGCCTATTCAGATTTTACTTGTGGGGTCTCACCATACTCACTGTTTTAGTTTACCCTCACATCATGGTTACTCTGAAATCTGTCTATCAAATTTAGACCTCACTCTTGATCTCTAGGTTCAGAGTCACCTACTTTTTCCTCATTTTCCCTGTAGATGTCCCATTGGCATCTCAAACTGAACATGTCCCAAACTGAACTCATCAGTCCTTTACCGTATCTTATGCACCTATTTTGGAGAATGGCAGTATTCTCATATCCAGCCTCCAAACCCCTGTAGTTTTTCAAATTAGGAATATGGAAGATAGAATAGATGGCTCCCTCATTCATCCTGCCCCATCTGTCTTCTCTTTTTTATTTTTCTTTTTTGAGGAAGTTTTGCTTTTACTGCCAGGATGGAGTGCAGTGGCATGATCTCACCTCACTGCAACCTCCAACTCCCAGGTTCAAGCAGTTCTCCTGCCTCAGCCTCCCAAGTCGCTGGGATTACAGGCATGTGCCACCATGCCCAGGTGATTTTGTATTTTTCGTAGAGATGGGGTTTCTCTGTGTTGGTCAGGTTGGTCTCAAACACCTGACCTCAGGTGATCTGCCTGCCTTGGCCTTCCAAAGTGCTGGGATTACAGGCATGAGCCACCATGCCCGGCCTGTCTTCTCTTTTAAATATCTCTGGACTCTGCCTTAGTATTCCCATTGCTGTTTCTTTGGTTCAAGCCCTATGATAAGGCTCTGGACAAGTCTATCTGCCTCCCCTTCCCCAACCCATCCACACCAATTTAATAAATGTCATTCAAAAATACAAATTAATTATTGAAACTTCTATCAATTATGGAGACATTCAGATTTAAGTAATAGAAAACCCAACTGAAAATGGCTTATTACTAAACAGGAATTTCTATTCTCTCGTAACCAGAAAGCTAGAGATGGCCACAGGCTTTGCTTGAGTGGTTCTTCCATGTCATTTTTTGTATATTTGGGATAATCTGGTCATTCTCTCCTGGTTGCAGAATGGTTGGCACAGTTACAGATACGGTGTCTAAACTCAAGGACAGGAGGAGGCGAAGGGACAGAGCCAGCCATGGATATTTATCATAAAATCTGAATATTTACTGGAAGACTTTTCAATTAGTTTTCTGCTTACCATTCACTGGCCAGAACTGTCGCAGGCCATCTCTCACAGTAGAGGAGGCTTGGGATGTGAGGTTTTATCTTTCCTATTGTCTGTAGTAGAGGTAGGCAAGAGAGAGTTGGGTAAGCCATGTTTCTCTCCTACTTAAAATCCTTGAGTAGCTTCCCACTTCTTTCAAGATCACAAAGTTCATTCTTTTTTTTTTTTTTTTTGAGACGGAGTTTCCCTCTTGTTACCCAGGCTAGAGTGCAATGGCACGATCTCAGCTCACCACAACTTCCGCCTCCTGGGTTCAAGCAATTCTCCTGCCTCAGCCTCCCAAGTAGCTGGGATTACAGGTGCACGCCACCATGCCCAGCTAATTTTTTTTGTATTTTTAGTAGAGACGGGGTTTCACCATATTGATCAGCATGGTCTCAATCTCCTGACCTCCTGATCCACCCGCATTGGCCTCCCAAAGTGCTGGGATTATAGGCGTGAGCCACCGCGCCCAGCACAAAGTTCATTCTTAATATAACATCAAAGGGTTCCTTGTACTGATGTCTTGTGATAGGTCTAGTCTACCATTGTCCACACTTCTTATAATTCTTCTATTGGACCATGATCTTTTAGGATTATTGTTTTTGTCCATGTTATTTCCAACCAAGAAAGCCTCTATTTCTTTCCTCTCTTTTCTCATACACCTCCAACAAAAACAAAAATGCTCAAGCAAAAAAGTCTACCTCTTTCTTCAAAGTCCAGTTCATAAGTTATCTCCTTAAGGAAACTTTCCTGACTCGCGCCTCATAGTAACAATTTAGTATTTTTTTTGTTATTGTGAGAATCTTAAAGGCTGTCTAAAACCCCAGCTCTTAGTTTAGAATCGGACACATGGTGAAGCTCAGTAAATGTTGGATGAATGAATGAATATTTGAAGTTTTCTACAAGTCGGTTTAATTCTCAATTCTCATGAATTTGCCAACTTCCCCAAATATCCTGTATCCCTCTTAAGGGGAAAGAGACAGATGCTTTTCATATATAATTAAATTAAATTAATTTATTTATTTGAGACAGAGTCTCTATCTGTCACCCAGGCTGGAGTGCAGTGGCACAATCTCAGCTCACTGCAACCTCCGCCTCCTATGTTCAAATGATTCTCCTGGCTCAGCCTCCTGAGTAGCTGGGATTAGAGGCACTCACCACCATGCCCCGCTAATTTTTATATTTTTAGTAGAGACAGGATTTCACTATGTTGGCCAGGCTGGTCTGGAACTCCTGACCTCAGGTGATCCACCTGCCTCAGCCTTCCAAAGTGCTGGGATTACATGTGTAACACACTGTGCCTGGCCCCATATTTTATTTTAGACCTATAGTTTTACCTTACCCTGTGTTTACTTCATGGACACACAGATTCAGACGCTTTAGAAAATAAGTCGAAAATACCCTGACTTTTTTTTTTTTTTTTTTTGAGACGGAGTTTCGCTCTTGTTACCCAGGCTGGAGTGCAATGGCACGATCTCGGCTCACCGCAACCTCCGCCTCCTGGGTTCAGGCAATTCTCCTGCCTCACCCTCCTGAGTAGCTGGGACTACAGGCACGTGCCACCGTGCCCAGCTAATTTTTTGTATTTTTAGTAGAGACGGGGTTTCACCATGTTGACCAGGATGGTCTCGATCTCTTGACCTCGTGATCCACCCGCCTCGGCCTCCCAAAGTGCTGGGGTTACAGGCTTGAGCCACCGCGCCCAGCTCTGACTTATTTTTTAATTAAAGGGACTTTCATGCTTTGAGAATTTTAAATTGAAGTTTGATATTTCATGTTTTTATTTCAATTTGTAATCTAAAAATAATTCTGAATTATTTTATAACCATATTACCTTATAACCAGTACTGTCATCCAATTCCAGTTCCTGAATTTGTGTTTTACTTAGAGTCACATTAGTGCCAAGTGTTATTGCTTTAACTGTCATAAGCTTAAAAGGAAAGATCTGAGGCAATTTTTATGTGTAAGTTATGCCTTCATGCCAGATGAGAGCCAAATGCTGTGCTTTGGCAATCTGTTTAACTAATTTTGAGAAATGTGGTGGTATATTTGAATAAAGAGCATCAGAAATGGCAAATATTGGGCCAGGTATGGTAGCTTATGCCTGTAATCCCAGCACTTTGGGAGGATGAGGAGGGGAAATTGCCTGAGCCCAGGAATTCGAGACCAGCCAATACAGCAAGAACTTGTCTAGACAAAAAATAATTAAAAAGTTTTGGCGGGCATGGTGATGTGCTCCCGTAGTCCTACCTACTTGGGAGGCAGAGGCGGCTGATTGCTTAAGCCCAGGAGTTTGAGGCTACAGTGAGCCATGATCATCCACTGCACTCTAGCCTGGGCAACAGAGCAAGACCCTGTCTCTTTAAAAAAGAAAGAAAAAAAGAAAAGAAATGGCAAATATTAAGGTAAATATAGAGCACAAATTATAACATTGTCTTGTAGGATGTACAAAATATATAGATGTTTGACACCTTTAGTGTAAAGAATGGCAGGGGAGTAATGGAATTCCTATACATTTGCAAGGTTTCTACATTTTATATGAAGTGGCATATTAACTTAGGTAGAATGAAAAGTTAAGGATGCATATTTGAATTCTCAGAGCAACTAATTTAAAAAAGCAAACCCAAGAGATAAATCCAACTAGAACTTCTAAAAAATATCCAGTGACCTGAAGAAGGCAAGAAAGGAAATACAGGAAAAAAAACAAAAACAAAAACAGAAGAGATAGACTGAAAATAAATAATAAAAGTATAGGCCTACATCCAACAATGTCAATAATTACATTAAATATTAATGGACTAAACACTCCATTTATGAGACAGAGATGACCAGAATTGATAAATAGCAGGGCCTAACTATATGCTATTTACAAGAAATTCACTTCAAGTATAAAGACACAGACTGAAAGTGAATGGATGGAAAAAATATAAATGATGCAAACAATAATCATAAGAAGATTAGCTTGGCCATATTATATTAGGTGAAATAGATATCAAGACAAACAGTATTAAGAAATAAAGAGGGATGTTTCACAATGGAAGGACCAACCATTCTGGAAGACATCATTATAAATGTGTATCTACCTAATGTAAACATAACCTCAAAATGTATGATGTAATCATTTCAAGAGTAAAGGCAGAATTAGACAATACTGTAATCATTGTTGGTAATCAGCAAAGTTTATAAGTATACCTCTCTCAGCAATTGATAGAACATCTACCCAGAAAATCAGTAAAAATGTAAGTAAAGATCTAAACAACTCTACCAATTATCTTTTTTTTTTCTTTTCTAGAGATGGAGTCTTACTTTGTTGCCCAGCCTGGAGTGCAGTGGCGCGATCTCAGATTACTTCAATCTATGCCTCCCAGGTTCTAGCAATTCTCCTGCCTTAGCCTCCAGAGTGGCCAGGATTATAGGCACATGCCACCATGCCAGGCTAATTTTTTGTATTTTAGTAGAGACGGGGTTTTACCATGTTGCCCAGGCTGGTCTTGAACTCTGGAGCTCAGGCAATCCACCCACCTAGGCCTCCCAAAGTGCTAGGATTACAGGCGTGAGCCACTACACCCAGCCCCAACTATCTTGACCTAACTGATACTTCTAGAAACACCACACTCATTGGCCAGGCGTGGTGGCTTAGGCCTATAATCCTAACACTTTGGGAGGCTGAGGTGGTAGGATCACTTGAGGTCAGGAGTTTGAGAACAGCCTAGGCAACATGGAAAAACCCTGTCTCTACAAAAAANTAATCCCAACACTTTGGGAGGTCAGTGTGGGTGGATCAGAAGTCAGGAGTTCGAGACCAGCCTGACCAAG